AGCGCAGAGCCCCCGTGGTGGAGGAGGCCCGAGGCTGGTGTGGCTGGGCCTCCTGCTAATGATCTGCCACAAAGCCAGTTGTCCCCAGACCTTCCAGAAAGTGACAAAGGAAGCCATAACTAGGACCTTGCTCAGAGAGGTGTGGCTGGGAGGGAGGCTGAGCTGTGGGGACCCAGGGAGGGGCCTGGTGGAGTCCAACTTTGCTTCCTCCTGGAGGAGGGTAACTCACACTTTGTCCCAGCCGGCAACTCTGCTGGCATGTCCCCAACGCCCTGAGGCAGTCACCATCTGAGCTCACCTCCACCTCACCTGTCCCTAAAGCCTGCCCGGGAGCTTTCGTGTCCAGGTGGGCCCAGGTGGGCTGTGCCGGCCCGCGAGCCCCTGGGCAGACAGGCTGGTGCTGAGCCCCCAGCCCCCGCAGGCCAGTGCCCCTCCTGCTGGCTTCCTCCCTTCCCTGCCTCCAGTCTCCACCTCCTACCTGGGATCCCTGTGGTCACCTCCCAAATGACCCATGGTTTCCTTATTTCATGGGCCGCCTCAGAGGCACCCAGCCCTTGGGAGGTCACTGAGATCACAGCGTGACATGCTGAAGTCCAATCGCGGACCTGAGCTCGGCCTTCTGTGTGCGGCCTCTGCGGCTCCTGACCTCCCCGCACCCTCCTCGCGCGTGGTGTGCTGTGTCCACTGCTCTCAAAGAGCTCGTGGCAGCCACTGCTGCTGCCATGGGGGCTTATGGCCTCTAGAGCCAGGAGGCCGCCTGGGGACATCCTGCAAGGCACGGATGTGTTCCTGTTTCCGGCTTTTTCCTGTGAACCCACTAATGTGCAGCTGATCAGGGGTGGGGGTTATGGAGTGATCAGATGTGGCTCCTGGCCCTTAATTCCTGTCACCTGGACACAGCAAGGCCTGGAGAGGAGGTTGGGGGTGACATCATGGTGCCAGGGAGGAAGCCAGGCCAGGAGGGGCTGTGTGAGCCAGCCCCTCTGCCTACAGTTTCCTGGAAGGCAGGGTGGCCTCATGGTCACCGGCCGGTCCCTGCACAGGTTCCTTGGCTGGAGCTAGATCAGAGCCTGTGGCAGACCCTGCAGGTCTGTGCCCCCATCCCCTGCTTGTCCACCCAGGGGAGGGGGCACCCCAGGAGGGCAAGGCAGGGCTGTCTTCTACTCCCAGGAAGCTGGTGAGCTGAGGGCTGGATCTGGATGGAACCCCCCAGGACTGGTCCTAGTGACCCCAGGAGGGGTTCGGGGTGTTTCTAAGGGGACGCCTTGGCCAGCTCAGCCCAGGGTCCCTCCTGTGATCACCTTCTCATTTTGCCTAGAAGTGGCCACTCTGGGAAATGCTGCTTCCCTCCCTGTGGCTCCAGTCCTCGTGACCGCAGGCCCTGGCATTAATCTAATTACACGCCATCTCCAGGGAGCTGGGAGGTGCCCGGTGATGTCACAAGTTGTCGGGGCTGCTGGGAAGGATGGTCTCCTGTCCTCCAGCCCCGGCTCTGGAGTGTCGCCTTGCTCCTGTTCTTCCTCTGCTCCTGACCCAAGGGGGACCGTCACCTGGCTACCTAGCCCCTGGCAGTGTGGAGAGCCTGGTTGTCCCCTGGGACCTGGTGGGGCCAGGGTCAGGCTGGAGTCCCCCACCCCTGATCAGCTGCACCTCTGTGAGCCCAGTGGGGACCCTGAAATGGGGAGGTGCACGATGCAACCCATTCTCTTAGTTTATAAAAGAAAGATTTCTTCCTGCTGTAGATTATTTGAAAATTGACAAGAAATTATTTTAAAGGTAACTTTAAAAGCACTGTTCCTCATCTCAGCAATACTCCTGGTAGTGATCGATGCACTTCTTTCCTGAATTTGTATCAGTGTGTGGATTTGTTTCTTGCAGTGCCAGGGGCTGAAACCAGGGGCGTTTTCCCCTGAGCTGCCTGCCTCCCTGCCCCCCTGCCCCCAGGCCTCTTATTTTGAGACAGGGTCTTCTTAGTTGCCCAGGCTGGTCTTGAACTTGTGATCCTCCTGCCTCAGCCTTCTGAGTCGCTGAATGACAGGCGTGGCCACCGTGCCTGGTCCCCCAGTGCATAGATATTTTTAAATGCAGCAGCTATTATGCAGATAATTTTGAGTGGCATTTTAAGTGTTCCCACATTGTTCCGAGAGAAACTCCTCCTAACCCTCAGCACGTGATGGGGAGAGGGTGCCACCGCTCAGCTATTATTGGACTAATCGCTATTTCCAGTTTTGGCCACTATAGATCTGTCAGCAGTCTTGATAATTAGAATTAATTCTTTGTGATAGATTCCATTGGAATTAGTGGATGGTCAGAAGTATTTTCAAGACTATTGTGTTGTTCTTTTGAAATTAAAAAGGAAAAGCCCCAAAACCCCTGTGGTCTGATTTTTATTTTGTTCTGTGCAGCCTCTAGGGCTTTCTGGGGCTGGGCTCTGGTCCATGTTCATGTGGGCCTGGTAGTGACAACAGGTGACCTGCTGGGTCGTGCCTGTGGCTCCCAAGGCTCAGTGCTGGCCATGGGTGGTGGGACATTGTTGGGTGACTTGTGGGCAGCCTGTCCCTGCTCTGTCCTCCTTACTGCTGGCTGAGGAGGTTGGTCTCAGACCCCTGTTGGTTCAGACAGGGGCAGGGCCACCCAGCAGAGGTGCCGAGGCTGGATGGGACTCAGTCCCAATCCATGACTCCAAATGTGGTCTGGCCCAGAAGGGAAACCCTGGGAGCTCCTTGCTCACTCCACAGAGATCCACAGAGGGAGAAGGGAGGAGCACGCCCACCTTCTGGATGGTCCTGTGGTTGTAAAGGGCAGTGCCCCAGACAAGGGCCGGTGGTCACATGCAGGTGGCTGGATCTCTCCTCTGTTCAGTGCTGTGCCTGGGAGCCCTGACCTATGGGGTGGGGAGGGGTTTTGTGGCTTGCTTCCGCAGAGTGCTTGACAGGGGTTGCCCAGAAATGGCCGCTCCTCCAGGTTCCTCCAGCTGCTCCCCCCAGCTGGGGACTCTCAGCTCTGACCTGTGGGTGGGCCTGGGTGCTGGGAGGGGCAGAGAGCGCATCCCCTTGTGAGCAGGGATACTTTGTTCCTTGTGGCCTCCTCATATGGAAAATGCGGACAGTGGGTGCTTGACCCTTGTGAGGGTCTAAGGAAGCTCTGGGTGCAGGGCTGCTGCATGTGACCTGGGGCGGTGACTGTCCCCTTCCTGAATCCCTCCCCAGAGGGGACCACAGGTGGTCATTTGGGGCTTGTCTTAGTTCAGTGTGGTCTTTGGAGTTACCTGGCCTACTGTGCCCAGCTGGCGTTAGGTCTGGGAGCCCAGGTGTGCCCGCCTCCCCCCACTTGCCCCTGGGCCCCAGCCTTCTGCCCTCGTGCCTGTTGGGGGAGTGTGAGGCTGCTCTCAGCACTGACTGACCAGTAAGTCAACTGAGGCTGTTTTATAGTGGTGGCCACCAGGCTAGCCAGGATCCCTGCCAGACCTCAGGCGGGACTGGGGGAGAGGCTGCCTCCCGGGGCTCTGGTGCAGGTGCTAGAGTCTGGAGCCACAGGGCTCCTCATTAGAGCTGCCTTATCATCCCCCAGGGCGGGCGGGTGGGGCCCCCTCCTCTCCAGGAGCCTGCGCCTGCCTGAGCAGTGACCGCTGGGCGTGGAGGGGGACAGAGGGCCTAGCCACAGTGTGTGGGGCTGGGCCTGGGGGCCTGATGCTGCTCGGGCAGGACGAGATGCTCTGCCGGGCCCGTGGACCTTGGCTGAGGGGGCAGGGGCTCCCCATGGCCCTCCAGCTGTGCTTGGGGAACAAAGTGACCCAGAGCAGGCAGATCAAAGGCACAGGGAGGGAGCGTTGGTGTGGGCCAAGGGCATGGGCTCCTGGAGGACCTTACCAGGCAGGACCTTGTGGGGTCATGACCAAACCGCCACACAGGAAGCTGCCCAGGCCTTCCTGGGGAGCACTCCCAGGGACTTCCATCCTCGCCAGTGACCAGTCCCTTGTTAGAGCTGGTGGGCTCTGGGGACAGGCTACAGCACTCTTATTACACATGAAGACCCCTCGGGCTCTGGGGTCCGTGGGCCTCGTGCTGGGGCTGGACAGACGCTTCATGTTCCTGTGACATCCAAGCCCCCTCTATCCACCGGGAGTGCAGGAACCTGTGGGGTCTGTTCCCAGCCCCGAGTTCCCTGAGGCAAGGTTCCACAGCTGCCTTTGGTCAGAGGGTCTCCCTGGTGCCTCCTGAGGTCAAGGGTTGGTGGTGCGGACCGGGAAGACCCTGCTTCCTGCCAGGGGTGGGTACTGCAGAAGGCAGACACCAGCTGTGGAGGTGGACGGGTCCTGGCCGCTGCCCGGGCCCTGTGACCTCTGGTGAGTGGCGTGATAATCTGTCCATGATCAGGTGGCTCTGTGGCTACCTGTAAGGTGCCACCCTGCCATCCTGCTCTCAGAGGTGCGTGGGACAGCTCTAGCCATCCCCTTGACTACCGTGTCCTGCTTGTCCCTCCCCGTCCCCTCCCCACCGAGGCAGGCTCCCGCATCCTGCCTGGGCTGCCTGGGCTGGCTGAGCCACTTCCCATTCTGGTGGGGAAAGGGGCCTGGGCTGTAGGGTGGGGATGGTGGACTGGTGGATGTAATGGCCCCTGCTTTTCTGATGCGATCACACGGCGGGGGCGGGGAGTGGGGGAGGGCAGGCAGATTTCCCTCCTGCAGCCGTCTGCACCGGGGGTCTGCTTGGCCTCTCCTGGCCTAGTTCAGAAACTGGGCTGCATGACTGGGGAGTGTCCCTCAAGGGTCTTGCAGGGTGTCCAGCACCTGGCTCCTGACTGACCTAGTGATGGGAGCTGTGTAGGAGAGGTGGTGCTTCCCCGAGTCACCCCGGGACAGGTGGGCAAGGGAGTCCCCGGTCAGAGAGCCAGGCACACCCTGAACGGGTACCAGGGTGCAGGTCAGGGGGACCAGGTGGCGGCTGAGGGAGAGAGTCCGCTGGTGGCTAACATGCTGTCTGCCTCCTCCGTCCTCACAGATGCCTCGTCCACCTACATCCGGCAGCTGGAGACCAAGGTGAAGCTGTTGGAGGGTGACAAGCTCCTGCCACAGGTAGGCGGGCTGTAGGGGTGGTGGCCACTCACCGAGGCCCTGCCCCAGGCCACCCCGTCCCACCTTCCTCGGGCTCCCCCAGCAGTCTGTGACCCCCGCTGCTGCCTGGGCCGCTGCTGGGAAGCCCCCGTCAGGGATCTGCTGCAACCTGGGTCCCTTCCAGGGTTGCCCCTCCCACTGTGCTGTGTGGGTCCCACAGGCCCTGGACTGCAGAGTGGGGGGAGAACAGGCCACGCTGCCCCTCTGTCAGACGGGCCGCGCGCTGCAGGGGCCTTCCTCCTGCCTCGCCGTGTCCCGCCTGCTGGTGTCCCTCTCTGGGCTGGGGTCCACCCTTCTCGCCCAGGGCCTGGCCCCACACCCACAGACAGTAGAGGCAGAGCAGGTGTGTGGGGGCACGGGTGGAGCCTTGGTCAGGGCAGGTGAGGGAGGAGGTGTGGTGTCTGGTGAGGGCGTGGACCTTGCAGGTCCTCCTGTGAACTTGGAGGACACAGGTGTCTTCCCCGCTGCAGGTGGGGTGGGTGTGGGCTGGTGATGGGAGACTTGGTCCACCCCCGTGTGCCTGGGTCCAGCTGCCTGGCCCTCTAGCCTCCTTCCTGCTTGTGCTCATGCCTGGCCTAACTTCAGCCTCCCCGGCCCTGCCTTACCTGCTGGCCCGTGAGTGGCCAGCTCCAGATGCCCAGTGTCTCTGGGAACTGACCCTGGTGCCATTGCCAGGTGGCCCACTGGGTCGGCTGGCTCAGGAAGCCTGCCACATCCTTCATGCCTGCTGGTGGCCCCTGGGCCGTCCTGTCTGCCTCTGTGGACAGTGCTGTGACCCTCTGTGTGCATCCTGGTCCCCACCCCTGCTGGGGTGCTTGAGGACGAGCCGCAGGGTCTCTGTGGTCACATCTGTCTCCAGCTCTCAGCACGGCCAAACTGGATGGAGCACCCTGGGAGCCTGTGGCTGCTTCTCACCCAGTCCTGGCCCCCGGGGGAGACTGGTTCTCGCTCAGAACAGGACCCAAGGGAGGGCTGCCCACCGGGCTGCGAGGCTCCGGCTGTGGCGGTGATCACGAGATGGCCAGAAAGCCTCGCCTGGGGATCTTGAACAAAGAGGCTGTGGCCGTGAGAGGGAGGCTGTCCTCAGTGTCAGGGGCTGTGGCATGTGAGATTTGACAGTTCTGACGTTTAACTCTTGTCAGCGACATCCAACCGAAACCCCGTCCCTAAGCAAAGCAGGGAACCTGCCCCCTGGTGAAAAGAAAGTGTGAGGAATATCATTCTTTGAAACATGGTCAGGTGATGTGGCCTTGGGGCTTGGGCAGGAGGCCAGCAGCCTCCCCGGATTCCCGTCCCCCACTGCCCTGTCCCTCCCCCGTGGCCTCTACTTAACTCCAAAATAGCTTTAATTAAAAATGTGCCGGAGTGTTCGCAGGCTAAATTATTGTATCGCAGTTCGTATTTTCTTTCTCCTGTTGGCTTTAAAATTCCATCAGCACAGCTGCTTCCTCTGGGATGATTCATCTTGAGACGCCACACACGTTATTACTCTGCCTGTGGATTCTCTGTGCCCAGCCGGCCTGGGGTGGGGGCAGCTATAATTGACGCTGGGGCCTCTGGTTAATCCCCCTGCTGGCTGGTAAATGAAGCCTTAATGTGCTCCGGGAAGGCAGTTTTACAAAAGAGCCCAGGACGCTTGTGGTGCTGTCACAGCAGGCCAGGGGACTGGCTTGGGGAGGAGGCTGTGACCCAGGCCGGGAACTGTGAAGGGCCCCCAGCCTGTCTTTCCTCCTTGTCCCCGTGCCCAGCTCTGCCCCGTGCTGTCAGGTGCTGCAGGGCTGCTGAAAGTGAACTGGGGTTTACAGGAGGTCCTGGTGGGGAAACCGAGGCCTGGGCGGGGAACTCCCGGCAGGAAGCAGCGTGTGTTGGCTTGGGCTGGCAGGACCGAGTGCCACCCACCGGGGCTCTCAGACAACCCAAACTGACCACCTCACAGTTCTGGAGGCTGGAAGTCCAAGATCAAGTCCAAGATCAAGGGTGGGCAGCACTGGTTCCTCTGAGGCGGCTCTCCTTGGGGTGTCTTCTCCCCAGGTGTCCCCATGCCTTTCTTCCTTGAGTCTGGGTCCTTACTTTTCTTTCTCAGGAGGACACCATTCATATGGAGCTAGGACCCACCTAATGACCTCACTCACCTGGTCACCTCTATAAGATTCCGTGTCCACGTAGGTTGCATCGTGGCGTCCTGGGAGTCAGGACTACAGCACACACATTTTTGGGGGCACACAGTCAACTTGTGCTGTGGGGGTGGTGGCCAGATGGCAGAAGGGGGTGGGTTGGGCACTGGAGGAATCTGAGCTCCAACCGCCCCTGGGCTTGCCTGCTGGGTGGCCTTAGGACACCCTTTGTCTCTGGTGGCTCGGTCTCCCAGCCCTGGGATGGTGGCCCCTGAGAAGTGTCCCGGGCGGGGCTTGCCCTGGTTGCCTTTCCCTGTTTCCGGGGGCCTAGGATTCTTTTTCTTTTCCTTTTTTGTGGTACTGGTGGGTCAATCCCAGGGCCTACTGTATGCCAGGCAAGTGCTCACCACTGAGCTACAGCCCGGCTCATTGCATTTCCCCCACGTTGAGGCTGGACTTTGCTAAGCTGACTTGTGATCTTCAGCCCCCAAGCCCCTGGAGTTCAGCGCCCCTGTGTAGGGCCAGCCTAGGACTTTGAAGGACCCGGTTAACTGTGCTCCCTTGGCCAGTGGCTTGGGCCCGGCCCATCCCAGAATGAACTGCTGTGCTTTGCCCTTTGTCAGAGTTTTAAACAGGCTACAGGACAGGGAATAATCTGCTACCAATCTGAACCCATGGCTGACACCTGGTGTTCCCTGTGTCCCTGAGGAGAGCGGGTCCTGATCCTTGGGTTCCTCCAGAGATGCTGACCTTTGCGTTCCTGTGATGGCAGTGTGCCTCATTGGCATCTCCTGTGATGTGCTGCCTTGTTAACCAGCTCAGAGTGCCCTGTTCTGCCCACTGGTACCTGGGGCTGGCCAACTCATCCCTGTACTCTCTGTCCGGGCAGCGTAGTCTCTGGGGCTCTGGAGGACTTTAAGTGCTTCTTAGGAGACCTTAGAGTCTGGCCTGTCCCTTCCCTCTCCCCAGGCTCTGAGCAAATGGTCAGTCTAGCAAGTGGGCAGGATAAGCAACTAGAAATTCCACCTCTCTGTCCTAGTGGGGTATCCACTACAGCCAGATGCTGGGCCGCAGTGGGCCAGGGCCAGGCCTCTGAAGCCAGAGGGCCTGTTGTATCTCATGAGTGCCACCTATCAGATGGGTGATGTTGGGCAACTGGCTGTAACTCTGTGCCTCAGTATTCTACTCTGTAAAATGGCCACTAGTGGCACCTGCCGCGTGCATCCTTCCCTTAAACTGGGAAGTCACCGGGACTTGGAGCTGGCTGGTGGTGAGGGTTGTGGTACCCAGCGTGGCTTCCCCTGGGTGTTGTGAACCATCCAGGGACCCTTGCCAGCCCCTGCTTGACCTCAGTGTATGGGCAAGCAAGCAGAGGCCCAGGAAGCAGGCAAGCGGATCGGATGTGCACAGCCCAGTGGGGTTTGGATTTTGCAGCCTGACCTCCTCCCAAGTCCCCCTGGCCTCTCTAGAACAAGTAATGAGTCTGTTGGAGGAGCCGGAGGGGCCACTCTGGTCTGCGTGCTGCCCCACCTGTCACAGACCATGTGGTCCTGGGTGGTTCACACAGTGTTTGAAATGGGATCTGGGGTATGAGGTCAGATGGGGAATGGGGGACCCAGCCCTGGCTGTGCAGAGGGAGGAGCAAGAAAGAAAATTCAGTGGGTGTTACTGGATAGCTCTTGTGAAGGACCTTGAAGGTCACTTGTATCCTGAGGACAGAGTGGAGGCCATATGGGGTTTGTCCCCTACTGGCCTGAGCGAGCTGGGGGCTTGGGGTGGCTCTAGGCAGCATACCGCCCCAAGGCCTCCCAGGAGGGCTGCTTACCCTGGAAGGGTATCTGGGTACTTGGGCTTTTTTTTGGTACCAAGGATTGAACTCAGGGGCACTCGACCACTGAGCCTCACCCCCAGCCCTATTTTGTATTTTATTTAGAGACAGGGTCTCACTGAGTTGCTTAGTGCCTCACCATAGCTGAGGATGGCTTTGAACTAGTGATCCTCCTGCCTCGGCCTCCCAATCTGCAGGGATTACAGGTGCGCACCACCGTGCTTGGCTGGTTCTTGAGCTTTGGAAGGGGCCACGAAGGGGTGGGTGCTCCTAGGGACCCAGTTCCCAGGAAGTAGTAGGTAACCAACTACTCCTTGTTGAATCTGGAGTTTCTGAAAACACAGAGCTCCTGGGAGTGGCGTGGAGACCACCACCCTAACCCTTAGTGTGGGAGAACCATGTGGCTCAGCCGAGGTCCCATGGCTTTGGGCTACCAGGGGCTGAGGAAGGAGCTTGGCAGAGGTTTTGGTCATGATGATGCCGTTCTCTTTCCTTCCAGCTGCCTCGCCCCTACGGCCGCCCAAGGAGGCCCCAGGTAGAGCCACTGTGTGTGTGTGTGTGGGGGGGGGGGTTTGCAGTGGTGTTGGGGGCAGGGGCTGGTCTGTGTGCTGTGTCTTCTGAGTCCCTCCTCTGTAGCACCCTCTGTCCCCTCCTGGGAGCTGACTGCCTTCCAGGGTGCATTGGTCCTCCCTGTAGGTTCTTCTTGGGATCTGCCCTCTGGGAGCCGGCATTCATCCCCAGCCTAGAGAAGCAATGGGCAGAGTCCTGCAGCGACTGCCTTGAGGGCCTCCTCAGCCACCCTTCCTCCCCCCAGGGCTGGGGGTGCTGCCCACTCTGGCGTGCTGGAGAGTGCTGGCCAGGGAAGCATGAGTGAGTGGTGCAGCCAGGCTTGGGTCCCCCTGGCTCCCGGGTGGGGTAGCAGCAGCCCAGGCTGCTGAGGTCTCGGGGCTCCTGGGTTGGGGGTCCGTGTAGATTGTGCAGCTCCCAGGGCTTGGGCCAGCGGCTGTGCAGGAGGTCCCCTGGGCTGCTTCTGACTCCAGCTGGGGAGGGGTTGGCCAACCTGGCTCCCACCATGCCCAGCTCTGAACCCCAGGGAGATGGGCCTCTGGCACTGGCTACTCTCCTGCCAGCCCTCAGGCCTCCAATGGCCTTGTCTTTGCCCCCTTCTGCCAGTCCTGAGATTGCCCACCCAGAGCGCCTGCCCATCATGTGACCCCCCAGGGTCATGCACCACCTAGCCCTGCCTTTAGCACTGTGGGCATGTGGGGATGGGACTGTCCTTGGCACTGCAAAGTGTCTAGCAGCCTCCCTGGCTTGTACTCACTAGATGCCAGTACACACCACCCCAGCTGTGGCACTCAGATGCCTCCAGGGGCAGAATCCACCCCCAGTTGAGAACTACTGACCTATAGCAATATGACTAGGTGCCAGGCCCTGGACTTGGGACTGCCCAGCCATGGCAGTGAGAAGCCAGAGTCCTTGGGTAGTGCCGAGGTACCCCCTGCCAGCCGCTCACAGCCATGATGACTGACATGTGGGTACAATCCCCAGACCCTCTCTCTCTTGGTCCAAGTGAGACCAGCTTGGACAGTTCCTGCCCAGGGTGTCCTGCAGGGTCAGCAGAGGCCATTTCTCTTTGGAGACCACCCCTTTGCTCAGCTCTTGACCCATAATTCTTCAGCAAGCTTCTCCATGGGGACTCCACCTGAGACAGGTGACTACCTGGATTCCATCAGCTTTGGTCTGGATCAGGTCCATGGAGCACAGGGCAGGGTGTGGCCCTGGCTGCCCCTGGAGCTTCCAGGGTGGCAGGTGGGGGCATAGTCTCTCGGAGTTCTGCAGCCCAACCCCTGCTCTAGGAGGACACAGCCAGTCCAATGGAGCGCCATCCCCCAGTGTGTCCTGGATAGAGTGATGTTCTTAGGTTGCTGAGGCCCCAGGTGTGTATTTGGTACCAACCATTAATGACACTTCACCAGCCTCTGGGAACTCCCACACAGTGGCCTCCTCTTCATGTCTGGGGCCTGGGGCAGGGAGGGATGCTGATGGACCTGTGGGGCAGGTGGGCCCTGGGCTCTGATCTTATCCCTAGGTCTTTCCCACATTGCCTCTGGCCCCCAACACCAGGCAGAGGTGGCCCACGGGCAAGAGTGTGATTGGCAGGAAGTGGGGCCTGAGCTCCTTCCGGCCTCCTGACTGCAGCCCCAGTCCAGGAACCCCAGGATGTCCACGTGGGCCTAGATGCCATCTTGGCCAGTGTCAGTGTCTGCCACCGTGGCCTCTGAGCCTCCCCTGCCACACCTTGAGGGGGGGGCCCTAGGCGCCTAGCAGCCCAAGGCAGGAGGGAGCCTGACAGGGAGAGCCTGGGGACAGGCCTGCTGGCACCTAGGTGGACTCTCTCTGAGCCTGCAGCATGCTCCATGCCAGACCCTGTCATTGGTGTGACCTGTTCAGGGCTAAGGAGGATGTGGTTATGGTGCTATCTCCTGTCTGTGGTTCTGGACCCTGGCCATGCCTGGCTTCCCTCCCGAGCCCTGTGGGGTGCCCAGGAGGCCTCTAAGGAAGGAGCAGCTCGGCAGGTGACCTATCCCGGGAGAAGCCCACTGTCCCCACCACCAGGGCCTGCAGGCTGAGGCTAAGTCCACAGTCACTTGGTGGCTCCATGAGGGTATCCAGCCCTGGTCACTCACCCAAATCAGCCTGGGGCTGGGCCTGCTGGGTATTGCCGGGAAAGAACCAGGCACCGTCTCAGTGTCTGCCCTCCTTCCCTGGCCCCCAGCCACGCCTGGCACACAGTAGGTGCTAATGCAGACAGGGTGCTTGAAGGGCTGAGAGTCCTCTGGGGTAGGAAAGGGGGACAAGAGGAGCTCTCCCTGGGCAGAGCCCAGGCAGGGGACACTGCCCACACCTGCTGGCCAGCCACTCCCCTACAAGGGAGCCCCAGTGGACAGGCCAGGGATGTTTGGAGCCTGTTTGTCTCCCCACCTTCTGTTCAGCCTCCCTGTGACAGGCTCTGCCCCGGGGATTGATGGCCTTGCATGCCTACACCTGGGTGGTAGGGGTCCTGCTGAGGGTTTGCAGGGCTGGGAGCAGCAGTTATAAGGATTTGGAAGTCCTGTTCCAGCCCCAGCCAGGGAGGGTCTTCCTCAGGGCATGAGGGATCCCTGGAAGGCACCTCCAGGGTAGGCACGCCTTTCTGGGAGAGGAAGTGCTCCCGGGCCAGGCCACACACTGCCTGCTGGCTGGGAGAAGGCGATTTCACTTCCCACTCCCCGCCCCCCCCCCCCACGAAAACCCAGGGCTTTCGTGGTGCCAAGGGATCCACATGGCCAATAGCAGAATTTTTAATTTGGATTTAAGTGCAGTAATGGTTACTCATTTGATGGGTCATTAGTCACATTGCCCCTTAATGAGAGTGCGCGCGTGTCCCCCCTGCCTGCCTTCCCAGCTTACTAATAAAGTTCTGTGGACGTGCAAGTGTTTATAGATGCTTACCCAGGCTGATAACACCCAGGAGATGGCCTGGGGAGGGAGGGAGCCCCAGCCCCGCCCGCCCGGTGTGTTCCATGTTTTCCGTAACTGCATGAGTCGGCTTGGGAGCCCATTTGGTCCTGGGCCAGAGTAAGCGTGGGGAAGGGAGGCCTGTGCCCAGAGTTCTCCAGCCAGTGTGTGGGTAGGACCACCGGCCCCAGGGTCCAGGTCCCTAGACTGGCAGGAGAACTGTGGCTCCGATCTGAGTTTGCTCCTCCTGGCTTAGTAGCCAAGGGGCTTCACTATGCGTGGTGGGTGGGCCGGGTGCCCTACAAGGGGCCTCTCCGTGTCTATGTCAGCCTTAGCAAGAGTAGCATCAGAGGACAAGGTCTTCGCACAGCCTTCTGCCACCGGGCTGTTCCCGTGCAGACAAGCAGCGCACCTTCCAGGAGGGACGCTTCTGTAACCGTCCTGGTCAGGAAGATGACTTGGCTCAGAGCTTTGCCATTGAGTGGAGCTGGGGGAAGACCTCGGGGCTGTGATGGTTACCCATGGCCGGGTGGCGAGTGCTGGGCCCAGGCTGGGTGTTCCTCCTTCTCCTTTTCTTGGTGCTGGTGGTAGTGGGGCTCCACTTGATCGGAGTCAAGTGGAAGATTTGGGGAAACTTCTTGGCTGGGGACCTTTAATATCTCTGGGTATTGAGGCAGGGCCAGAGCCAGGGGCATGACTGTGCCATTGGGTGATTCAGGTAGGCTCAAGCCTTTGCAGGTGATGCCCACTGGGTGGGGCCCTCTGGAGCCCACCATATTTTGGGGGCTACCTCATGAGGGTAGGTTACCCCTTCTCACTCCTGCACCTCTGAGATCTTGGATCACACCCAGGTCCTCCCAAGGAGATGAGGGGAGGTGGTGGGAACAGCATCCAGCCCTGGTGCTGCCTGGCCTTTGAGAAAACAGATCAACTGACCCCTGGACATCCCTTGCTTCAGGCTGGTGGGTCAGGTGCCTGGCAGTCCTTCTAGTGTCACCCTATCCCCAGCACCTGCAGGACCCTGCCAAGGCCCTAGACCTGAAGAAGGGAGGTCTGACCCTGGATCCCATGGGGTGGGAGAACAGAATCCAGGGAATTGGGGGGCGTAAGGGGGTCCTGTGGGAAATGGGGGCTGGGCCCACTGGTTGGCAGGAGGTGAGCAGAATGTGAGTCAGGCGAGGGGGCTGGTGAGTGGGGAGACTCCAAGACAGGGCTGCTGCTCAGCTGGCCCCCCGCCCGGCCCTGGCCAGGCCCCTTTCCTCCGTGGCCTGGGGACTCAGCAGCCTGCCGATTCATGGACTTTCTGCTGCACTTATCTGCCGAGGCTTTCTTTTAGTTCCTTTGAAGTAGAGAAGAGTGTTTGGGTCAGAAACTCTGCCCCAAGGTCTGGTGACGCAGAAGGAAAGGTATCTTTGCGGGGCTGGAGCAGGAGGGAGGCCAGCTGGACTGAGCCTCCCACCCACTGGTATCCCTGGGACCTGTGGATGCTCTCAGCTCCTGGTTCCTGCCCCTTCCACAGCTCCACTCTCAGCCTTGGCTTCTGAGGGGACCCACCCAAGGCCTGTCTGCTTTGGCTTCCTCCCCACTCTCCAGTGCCCAGGCAGCAGGCCCACCTCACACTGGTCCTTGTATGTTCAGCTGGACAGCACCCAGGGCCTGCTTTTGGGAGCTCCCTGTCTGATGATGGAGGTGGGCCGAGCCCTGAGGAGGCTCATCCGGCCGGGGGCCACAGAGCCATGGGAGGCACAGGGTGCAGAGGCTATCCCCTAGGCCCTGGTGAGGGACACTGGCTTGTGACACTGGCAGGAACTCCAGTGCAGGATGTTGCAGTGTAGGAACAGGGTCGAGGTGGGGAGGGCTGGTCATTCATCTTCTTACTCCTTGGTGGGCATGAGTTGGGGGGACAGACAGAGGCCATTTGGCAGTGGCTTCGAGGGCAGGAACAGCTGGGTGGGGCCCTGGGGAGGTGTGTGGAGCAGGCCTCTGCTGTGGGGAGAGCCCCTGTCCCCGGGGAGCTGCTCAGCCGAGTGTCGCTGGCCCTTGGTGGCTGACACCTAACCTCTCTCCCTCTCTTGGCAGCAGACGGGCCCTGGAGAGCTGCGCATGCTGCGGAAGGGCTTTTCTCCCTACCACTCCGAGTCCCAGCTCGCGTCCCTGCCACCCTCCTACCAGGACTCCTTGCAGAATGTAAGTGTCCACCCCAAAGAACCCAAGTGCTCCTGGTCTGAGACGTCTCTAGTCTCCTTCTGAGTTCCACAGGTGACCTGCCCAGGGCACATGGTCAGTCCCACGTCTCCCCCTCCCGCCATGCACACTCACTTTAGCCTAGCACTGTCCAGGTCAGCGCAAGCTGAGGAGGACAGCCAGCCCGCTGTGCCCTTCTTCATGCCCCACCCTCCCAGGAAGGGGCCTGACCTCCCACCCGTGCAGCCTCAGAAGGGCCCAGTGTGGAGGCCAGAGGTGAAACACATGTGGTGACTCTGCTGGACATGCTGGGACAATGTTTAGAGGCCACGTGAGCTGGCAGCTGAGCCATGTCCCTTTAGCCTGTGTCACTTGGGTGCAGTGGGAGAGGCTGTCTGGCTGGCCTGGAGTGCAGGGTGGGGTTGCTGCCCAGCCTTGGACCTGAGCGTGGAGGGGCCCAGGGTGGTGGCTCTGTTCTGGACAGTCCTCCAGGGGCCTCTTCTAGGCTCCTACTGGGCTCTGCCCTGCTCTGGGAGAAATGACCGCTGGGAGTTAGGTCATGGGAATTGGCTACCTGTCTGGGCACCCGTTGGGGCTGCTCCCTGTGGATCAAGTGCCCGTCACCATGTGTGACTGCAGAGACAGCCTGGGAGCCAGCCCACCTTCCCTCTGCACCAGATGTCTCATCAGCTCACCTTCCTGTCTGCTCCATGGGGACACTGCTCCACATGTGTGCGGGTGCCCGAGTGGGGGTCTGCAGGTCTGCTGTGTGGCGTGGAGGCTCCTGGGCAGTGTGTGTGGAGCGGTCACACCCCTGGCCTCTCCCCTCCACCTTGGGCCCTCCTGGCCTCGCTGGCTCTTGGTGCCCCAGAGGCGGGCTCCTGTAGGCCACCCCTCCTACCCAGGAATGCAGCTGTGGACCCAGGCCCTGCCCCTCGAAGTAGTCCAGGGTTTATCCTGGAGCCCTGTGGCCTCCCAGGCTCCAGTTGCTCCTGACCCAGGGCCCTGAGGAGCAGGGGTACCGCTGGGTCCCTTCCTCAGTCCCTCATCCCCTCTGCCCTCCACCCATCCTTCCTTCTGATTGGATAGGGAGCAGCAGCCGCAGGCATGAGGCCTGGGGATCTACAAACTGTGAGGTTCCTTGCTGGCTCCTGGGCCAGCCTCTGGGGTGTGCTGGCTGCCTTTGGGCTCTCCAGCCCCACACCCAGGCCTCAGGAGGCAGCACCCAGGCAGGGAGGGCAGGCGGCTCTGGCTGGAAGGCATCCTGCAGGTCTGGTGTGGCTTTGTGCCTCACTTCCACCCAACTTTGGAGAAGAGGAACTGAGGCCCTGGGGTGGGTGGGTCGCAGGGCCTCCGGTGAGGGTGTGCTGGGGCCTGTGGGCCTGGAGGTCAAGGGCAGTGGGCGGCTGCAGAAGCTCCCTACTCCATGAGGCTGGGCAGAGTGGGGGGTCCAGAGAAAGTGGTGGGATGGGCTATCTTGGGGGAGGCCGGTCACTGAAGCTGCTGAGGCCACTGCAGAGGGCCAGAGGACCAGAGACCAGGCCCTAGGGAGTGTCCACAGGGCTTTGGGCCTTGCTGGGGCCTGGAGAGCCTGATTTTGGCACTTCAACCCTCTCTGTATGAGGGGTGCCAGGGAGGGCAGTGCTCCACACCTGGGCAGGTCTCCTTGGAGCCCACTTGTGGGTCCTGGGGCACTCTGAGGGTCCTGCAGTACAACAGGTAACTAAAGGTGGGCATCCCTTTCCTGCCTGCTGGCAGTTGGCGTGAGCCCAGGCAGAGGTGGTTTGTATTTTTTGGCCTCCTGACAGACGGTCAAGGCTTCGACAGGCCCCTTGGGGCAGTGGTTTCCACACCATTTTTGGTGGGGCAGGTAATGACTTTGTGTCTGAACCTGTAATTCAGGAGTTCTGGTAAATTCAGAGTTGTACCTTCATCACAGTATAACGCCCCCATCACCCCAAAATGCCTTCTCACCCCTCCTCCTCTTCGCCGGGCCACCACTGCTTTTCCACTCTGGGTCCGTCCATCCCTGCCACTGTGTACTGGGGATGCACTGGAGCGTGGCTTTGTGCTCGGGTTCCTGCCCACGTGGCCTGGGGCAGCCCCCTGTGCCTCTGCTACCTTCCATCTGCTGGGGCACGATGGGGCCGTGTCCACTCTTTGGCTGCCGTGGAGTGCGTGGCCTGCGGGTTCCAGGACTAGTACTTCGTGGACACGCACTTTCCTTAGTCCTCTCGGGTGTCCACTGCTCTCCCGCTTTGGCGCAGCTCTGGTGCCCACAGCCCTGTTAGGTCTTGTAGCTGCTTGGCCCTGCAGCCTCACTCCCACCTTCGGGACGGGCTCGGGAAACCGCAGCACCTGCCGGGGTGGCTGGGGCTGGCCCAGCAGCATGTGTACTCCTGAGTGGAGGTGGCACTGGCTTTTTTCAGCCGTGGCCAGGAGTCCCGACGCCAGCCCCAGTGCATCACTCACACCGCCACCTCGTGTGTTTGGACAGTGGCTGGTGTCGTTTGCAGGATCCCCAGCCATGCCTCCCTGACACCTACTGTCCCCAGTGAGGTGGGCAGGATGGGCTGGATCACAGCTGCCCACTGCCCCAGCCTTCCTTTTGCCATTGCTCTAGGAATCAGATGCTGGAGCTGGGGGTGCCGACAGAGCAGGCAGTTCAGGAGCCGGATGCCAGGGCCAGCTGGCACAAGGTGTTCCCTGGGACAGGGAGGGGTATGGGCTCTCCAGAGAAAGGAACCAGGCCAGGGTCCCTGTATGTGTGTGGCTGGCACCCCCTGCTGGCTTCTGGGGGGGAGTGCAGTCATCTGTTCAAGTCCCAGCCGGTCTCCTGTGCCCTCCCCGGGAGGACTACCCCACACTCCTGCTTGGTACTTGTTTGCCCTGGTCTGGGCACAGAGACTGGCAGCCTGGGCTGGACTCAGAGAAGCAGCTCTTGAGCATTCCCCAGGGCTCTGCACACTCTCCGGGGTGCAGGCCCCTGTCTGACGGCCAAGTGAGGAAGCAGCTCAGAGCCAGCTGGGCCTGGCCTCAAGTCGCAGCCAGAGGAAACTTGTCCCGGCCTGGACTTCTCAGTCTACTAACCTGCTAGTGCTTCTTGTCGTTTTCTTCCTGGCCCCAGGGGGGCCCTATAGCAGCTAGAGGAAGAAGTGCCTGGTCCCCATGGCCACCTGGAATGAGGGGAGCTCGGGGTTGGAGCTGGGCTATGGCCCTGGGTCAAAACTAAGCTTCCCAGAGGATGGTCCCCACCTTGCCTCATCCCCTGACCAGCCCACTCCATGCCATGTGGAAACTGGCCCCTGGTGGCCGACTTGACCCTTAAGACAGGGCCAGGCTGAGAGCTGGGAGGCTGACACGGGACCGGCTGGGAGGGGCTTTGGATTCAGGCAGTGGCTTCAGCCCCCCAGCCTGCTGTGCCAGAGCCTCTTGCCCTCCCCGTTACCCTGGATTCCTCTGCAAAGCAAACCACGGGTCCCACACACGCACCCCCCCCACCCCCAGGCACCATGCTGTCTACAGAGGACATGGCATGGCGGGACGAGAGGGGCTGCCCTCTCCAGGCTTCGCCCTCTCTGCTGCCCACCTCCCCAGTCCCATCTGTGCCTGCCTGGCTCTGGCCCCACACAGTTGGGACCTCTGACTTGAGCCAGCCGGGAGCTAAGGTGTGATTCCTCCCACAGGGCCCTGCCTGCCCTGTGCCCGAGCTGCCCTCGCCCCCCTCCGCTGGCTACAGCTCTGCGGGACAGAAGCCCGAGGCAGTGGTGCACGCCATGAAGGTAAGGGCCCCACTGCCCAAGCCCGAGATGCCCGGTGCACCCTGGGGCCTTGGAGGCCACCTGTGCTGTCTGTGCGCAGGGCATCTGAGCAGCAGGGTAGGGGATTTCGCCTCTCAGCTGGTGGCTGGGGCCATGGCTGTCCAGTGAAGGACTCAGAGGTGGGGAGTGGGGACTAGTGTCACCTGTCAGCCCTCCCTGAGCTACTGCAGCTGGGGAAACAGAGGCCTGGTGGGGGAGGACAGGCATTGCTCTAAGGCCAGAGATCTGGGGCAGGAGTGGGTTAGGACTGAAGCCCAGGTTTCTTAGGTGAACCTCGGCCTCCAGGTGCGGGGGCAGGTCTTCCTCATGTCTCCAAGGCACCCACACCTGAGCACATCGCCTGCCCCACGCCCCTCCTTCCTTCCCCTGTGCGTGTGCCAGGAGCCTCGTGTGGGGTGTGGGCTGCCCCAGGTCCCTGTGCTGTTACACGAGTGAGTCCACCTGTCTGAAGTTTGTCCCTGACACCTGGCCACCCTTGTCCTGGGTGACCCGTCCCTGAGTCAGGGATGCTGCTTCCCTTGTATGGAGACCGTGGTGTCGCAGGGTGAAGAGACATCCACACCCTGCCCCCCAGCAGCTCGGGACCTCAGCTTCTCCGTGTAGCCAGGGAAGCCAAGGCTGCGGGGGTCAGGTGACTTGCTGGAGGCCTGCTGCTGGCCTCTGCCCCACACTCTGGGACTGATCTCCTTCATCCTTCAGGTCCTGGAGGTGCATGAGAACCTGGACCGGCAGCTCCAGCACAGCTGCGAGGAGGACCTGAGCGAGGAGGAGAAAGCCATCGTCCGGGAGATGTGCAACGTAGGGCGCTCCCCGGGCTGCGGTGGGGGGTCTGGCGCGGGGGCACAATGAGGTTCACCTGGCAGGTCACACCCCTCCCTGTGTAGGGCTGTTGTACACATACTCAGCTGCTGCCCTGGGCAGCTCCAGAATGTTGGAGGCTCTGGACTCCCTGGCCTGTTGTCACCCACTCTACTCCCCCTGCCAGAAGGCCCCTGACCATGGCTAGGTCTCTCCCTCCCCAGGAGTGCCATGCTTGGGGCTCGGAGTTCCCCATCCCAGCACTGCTCTGGTTCATCCAGCCCTGGAGCCCTTGGGCCCTGGGTGTCTGACCCTGGCCTCCCAGCTCACCTGTGCCCCCTAGCGGCAGCTGGCCTTGCACTTAGTTCTCAAAGCTGAAGGTGCAGACCTGCAGGCCTGGGCTGCCCTGTCTGCCTGGGAGAGCCTCGTCCTTGGCCCCTCTGACCACCAGTTGACTTGTTGGACCTTTGCAAGAGCTGCAGGGAAGGGATGTCCTAGGTCCACGGGCCCTACAGAACAGCCACGAGGCCAAACCTGCTCCGGGGCAGCCATGACTGGGGTGGGGCAGGACCAGGCCTCAGCACCTCCAGGCCTCCTGCGGCCTCAGTCTCCCTTCCCGGTCCCAGGGCTCTGAGGACATGGGCGATTTGCAGGGATAAGGCAGGAGGCATGTGCAGGCCTATGGTGGGCTCAGGCGGGCCCTCCACCCACGTCTTGCCCCTCTCCACAGGTGGTCTGGAGGAAGCTGGGAGACGCTGCCAGCTCCAAGCCCTCTATCCGGCAGCACCTGTCTGGAAACCAGTTCAAGGGTCCTTTGTAGGGCCATTCTTCACGGATGTGGACTGGCCCCTCCCAGGGCTTCCAGGCCCTAGACGAGGGCAGGACTCCCGCAAGCCACTGTCTTTCTCTGGTGAGTTGTACATAGGACACGGACCACCCTGGCTGCGTGCCGTGGCACTCTGACGGCCAGGCCTCCGCTCCCGCCTCACGCACCAGCAAACTGCGAAGACACGAAGCTGCGACTGCTCCCTGGCGGCCCGAGTGACTTGGCTCCCTCTCTGGCCACAGGCTCCATTTGCAAGAGGCTGAAGGGATGCCAGGCTCAGGGACTGTCCAGGCTTCCGTGTCCTGCCCTCGATGTGGGGGCCACTCATCAAGCTTTCCATCCTCCTGGTGCCCCTGTACTGGACAGAGGCTGCCATCACCTGAATCCTGACACAGTGGCACCATTTCCTGCCCTGCCATGGCCGGGACCCCAGCTCACCCAGCACTGGGTCCTCTGTGTCATGGACAAGGAAACTCACCATGTCTGGCTGCTGGAGCTGCTCGGGGCTCCCAGGCCCTTCCTCTGACCTTGGCCCTGGGAGCTTGGAGTCCCTGCTATTGGGGGTTGGTGCCAGCCACCCTGATGCCAGTTGCTGCTTGTTTTTAGTGTTCCCCCTCCCTGACACCCCCAAACATACATTCTCTGTGGTCTCTGTACCCCGTGCCAGGGTTAGCCCCATCTTTTGGGGTCCCTGCTCTCCAGCATCCTACCTGGGGCTCACAGGAACAGGGAAGGTCCTGGAGGGCTTCTGGGCTGAGCTGCATCTGGGGATGGGTAGAACCAGGTCATGCGGAGTCCCTGGTCAGCTGTGGGGTGGCTGCCTCCAGGGCTGGCTATACCTAGGTCACTTGTGGACACAGCTACAGGGGCTTCCCATGATGAGCATTCTGTTCTCTTTTGGAAGGAAGGACCCTGACTTGGTTCAGGCTTTAATTTACTGTGTGACCTTCATGAAGTCACACAGCTTCTCTAGGCCCCTGCTGTAGATGGTCTCAGTCCTCACAGCTCACAAGCCAAGGCCAAGCTCATGTTGCTGCCTTGCTGTCTCATGGCAGGTCACCTCCTCTCTCCAAGCCTCAGTGTTCTAAGCTACAAAATGGACGCCACCCTCCTTACAGTAAGAGACCTTCAATGTAAATGATCCCATATAAACCATGAAGTGTGATAGGAAATATTTTTTAGTTTGTGAGAGGAAAATGAGGCCCAGGAGGGGAGGTGATGTTGTACTACTACACATAGTGCCCTGGCTACAGGGGAGATCCTAAAATCTCTAAGAGGGCAGGCCATTTTGACGACATCCACACATGCACGTAAATGGCCAGCCCCAATCCCGACTCACCTCTGTTCACTTCCCGCTGTCAGCCGTGTCTCCCCTCTTCCGATGGTACTTGAGCTCCGTGCAGCAGGTACTTGAAGGGCCCAAGGAGTGTCTTCCTATCAGGCAGGTCTCATTCAGGCCGAGCCAAGGATGGGGACCAGGGCAGGGGAGGGCAGATGGCTTCCCTGCTGCTTTCCCCAGCTGGGGACCCTCTACAGGGAGTGGTCCCCTCAGCGTTTGCCATCTGCGCCCTTGTGTCCTGCACTCAGGGGAAAGGCCCGCAGCCCTTGGCGTGCCCTGGGAGTGCCAGCCAGGTGCTTCAGGGCTGGGCCTGCTGCTCTTGCTGTGGGTGTTACCAGAAAGCTCTTCCTAGGACCTGCTGCCTGGTCAGGTGATGAGCTCCCTGTCGTTAGGGGTCTGCCCCCATCTACTGGTCATGGTACTGCGTCACGCCTGCCTAAGCGGGAAGCTGGGCTGGTGACACACATGTCCCTTTGGGGTGTCCTGAGGGGTGTGGGTCCATGCTGTGTAGGAGCCCAGTCAGGGAGCCCACGTGTTGTGTTTGGATCAGGGTGGCTTGGCCACCACTGAAATAAGCAATAAGGGCTCCTGGTATCTGCAGATCTACCCAGGGAACAGCCTGGAAGCCACCTGTCTCCTGAGGGAAGTGACCCCATCCCTGGTGCTGTGGAGGCACCAGGGGTCTGCAGAGCACCTCCTGCCTGCGAGAGGCCCCTGAGTCCACACAGCAGTGGACAGCTTTCTGGGACGGGACTGTGACAGTCATGTCTTCAACACAACAGTTAGTAAAAGCCAGCAGCAGCAGGAGCCCAGGTGCTCTTGGCAGTGGCAGAGCCATGAGTGAGCTGGGGTGGGCCCCACCGGGCCTCTCACAGTGGGGAGCCTGTGGGCCATAGCTCAGGGTGACACCGGGTGGCCCTCCCTTCTGGAGCCTTAGCTCTGAAACTCCTAGGCAGGGGCCAAGGGCCTTTCATAGAGGCTCCTTTCCGTTTCACATGCTAATTCTCAATCCTGAAGCCCAAGGAGACTCACACTGGCTTCAGTTCCACTGTGACAGGTCACCCTTCTGGCCCCAGCCCAGGTGGCCTCACCTATGCTGGAGTCAGAATCTGCTGAGCACATTTTTTTAGGGTGGCACATTTTTATCCAAAAGTTATTAGCTACACACCAGTGTTTAAAGAGGAAAAAGTGACCTTTCATTTGTTTTTTCTTGAAACTTGAGAGGAAAAAAAAAAAAATCCTACTGTTTTTTTTTTTTTTTTTAAAGAAACAAACTAAACGCATGGCTGCAGAGTGCTAGAGGAGTCTATTTTTCATACTGTGGGGAAAGTACTCATGCTGCTTTTTGGAAACAGGCTGGGACGTCTGGTTCCTGTCCTGGGCCGGCAGCTATGCTATTTTCTGTAGAAGGTGACCAAGGTGGACCTGCAGCCACCCCCACAGAGCCGAGCCTGTGGATTCCCGCCTGTTTCTACCTTCTATCGAACCACTTTGATTTGTGGAGAGAATAGAACTTTTTGATAGTGTGGTAAAAACATTGATTTGAACTATTTTAGTAAAAGGAGTAACAAATAAGATTGTGACCGTGTATACTTTGAGCTAGATAAATAAAGGCCTCTTTGCAAGCCTTCTGGTTGGTGCTCCCTGCTCATCTCTGTTGAGGACTGAGGGGTGGCCTGGAGCCATGGCCCAGCAAGCAATTCAGATGGGGATCAACTGGCACTCTACCCTTGCCCCATACATTTGGCCCCTCAAGTGGATGGTGGAGTCCACTAATTGCTACCTACAGGTCAGGAGTGGAAAGGATTTCCCATCCAAGCCTGGTCTCAGGAGCCCACGTTCTGTGCATGGATGCTGTAAAGCTCAAAACTGGTCTGGAATTTAACCAGGGTGGTTAAAATCACATGCAGAGCCACACCTTAGTGCCCCCAGGGACATCAGGGAGATGGTGGGGTCAGGCTTTCCATCAGTGTCCCTCATCCCTCCTCCAGCTGCCTTCAGTACAAAAGGAGAGATGGGCTTCTGTGGTAGACTCCACAACCCCCAACCCCACACCTCCTGCCCTGTTAAACAAACAAGGGGCAAGTTCCAGAACTGATTTTATTTGGCTAACTGACTGAAGGAGTCTTGTTTGTAACCAGGATGGCATTCACAGTATGTTGTTACATTCACACTTAAAAAATATATCTCTATGTACAGGAATTTGCAAATAGATGTAAACATACATTACTTTCCAAGTACATTTCTCCCCTTCTCCCAGGAGGAAAAAGAAATAAGCCATCCAACAAGGCCACCCCTTCACAATAGTTTAATACAAAGGCTGCAAATACCTCTAAATCAAAAAAGTGGTTCATCTGACCTATTGGGTCTCATGGGGAGAACACCACTGAATGACAATAATGACAACAGCTTGACCTCAGATGGAACTGGACTATTTAAAACTGAGTTCCCAGGAAAAATAGGCACTGATTTCTAGAAGGAAAATCACTCCTTACTGAAGCTATTTATTGAGCCAATATGGCTGGTTAACATTTTCACTAGTATAAAGTAACCCAGTGCAGGACTCTCAGACGACATTAGCTGAAACTGTACAGTCAGACTGCAAGAGGCGCTGCCTAGGCCACACTGAAGCTGGCTGTCCCGGTCCTCCAGGTGTGAGGACCACCCCAATTTCATCCCAGGGATCTGGCCCCTCCCTTCCTTACTGCAACTGTCTGGCATTATACAAGGTCCCCGCTGCTTACACTTAAACTACTCTTCAAGTTAATTAGAAAAACTCTTTTGTTTAAAAAAAAAAAAAAAAACCAAGGGAAAAAAAAAGGCGTCAGGTTATCTCATCCAGGCCGCCCTCCCCAGTCCCCCAACAGGAGGCATGCCAGGTGGGGGGATGGGCGGGGGCACAGGTGGCTGTCCTCCAGGGGGCACTGCAGGAGGCGGGTAGCTAGCCGGCGGCAGGCCCAAGCCTGGAGGAGGGTGAGGTGGGACTGCATGGGTGGGGGGCAGGCGAGGGGGTGGGGGTGGAAAGTTGGGGTTGTAGGTAGGTGGAGGTGGTGGGTAACCAGGAGTAGGGGGTGGAATGGCAGGTGGGGGGAAGGAGGCTGGGGGAGGAGGCACAGGTGGTGGGGGGGGGTTGGGGGGATAGACATGGGGGTGGTAGGGAAGGTGAGTTGGCGGGCCATAGGCTGGGGGCAGGGCGCCATAGGAGGGGCCTTCGGTCTTCATCATGGACTGCAGGCTCTGGTAACCCTCTCCAGACATGTAGGAGCTGGTGGTGGACATCCCCGTCATGTAGCTGGAGGGGGGCGGGGGCGGGGGCCGGTGTGGTAGAGGTGGTGGCTGGTGCACAGGGGCCGGGTGGGCCGGAGGAGGAATCTGGACTTTGGGGAGGTCACTGGCATCCACCGGGCCAGGCGGCTCGGCCTCGCCTAGAGCAGCAGCGAGGGGAGGCTTCCGGTCTGCAGAAGAGAGACAAGTCAGTGCCCCACCTGTGACTTGACTAGGTTTCCAGAGCCGCCAGGTACAAAACCACAGGCATGACTCCTTGAGTGAGAGCCCTGAGCCAGGAGCTCTCAGCCCACTGCAGGCTGTGAGGGCCACTGCTGTTGCTGAGGGCCACCTTTACAAAGGTGCCGGGAGCAACTGACACATTTGTAGTCTTATGTGCAGAC